CAAAAAAAAAAAAAGACATTTCATTTTGGGTTCAACAAAACATTTTGTTTGATCTGAAACAATTTTGTTTGTATGTTGTTTTTCATTTTTAGGTGATTTTAGCCCTTTTTGTTTTAAAAAATCTAAATTATAAAATGGTCAAATGGTCAAAACTAAATGTTTTGTTTTGAAATAGGCACAATAAATTGTCTTGATGATTTAAAAAAAGAATACCGGCTTTCTTATCCAAAACTAATAATCTAATTTGACCTGATTTTTTTTAATAGTTTTGGTGATATGAAAATGCATTGAATACTCTCAAATGTATTTTTCTGGAAAAAAATTCAAATAGCTGCAGTTAGACAGCTTCCTGTGAGATAAAACCCATCTTAAAAAATTGAGACTGCTTTTTTTTTTAAATACCATTAATGTGGTAATTTTCAAGTAGATGTAATTTAAAGGATAGTAACTGTCATCTGACTTGTTTTAACAAAAGGAAGTGGAAACGCTTTTTTAAAATTAAGCTAGATAAGGTTTCTAATCATTAGCAGGATGTATGTCTTAAATATAGATTACAAAAATACATTTTTAAACCAAATAGTCATTTCATTTCCTGCTTGGCTGTCTTACCAAGACTGGCATTCATATTCCCTATGTCCTGTAACATGACATTGCTAATTTCTTTAAGCAATGCAGTTTCCTTGAAGCAAAAAACTCTAGATTCCTACATTTGAGAGTTAGTGATTGTTGACTTCTAAATCTTGTGAGAATAATAGTTTGCCTCAAGTATTTTTTCACCATCAGGGCTCCTTTTGAATAAATTGTTAAACATATTGCTTTTTTAGATAATTTCTTTTAAGTATCTTTTTGGCAAAACATGTCTTGGTGAACTACTTCTGAAAGTTTGAATGGTAGACGCTTTGACTGAATAGTTATATGTGTACAGGTTGGAAGGATATCTTTATCTTCCTCCCTCTCTACCCCTAAACTGAAACTTTTTTCTTTCCAGTTTTGCTTAATATTAGTTTAACTTATTGTTTGTGAAATTTTCTGGCTTAATAGCCATGGAGACTGAAGTCATCCAATTATTGAAGTGATAGTTCTTTGGCAGCAACTTTGCAGATTCAGCATCAGTTTAGACAAGGTTTTGGCCATGACTAGAAATTTTAGGGAAACAAAGGCTAGTGTAATAAAGCCTCTGGGATTGAGAGAGTAGTTCTGTCTTCACACTCAAGTACACCAGTAAAGCCAATTAATACATCTTCTGAAATGGTTTATAATGCCACTCTGTTTTTGTTTCTTTTAGGTACTCATGGAGGTGTTACATTAGTGGGCCTAATTTCAAGTCTCATTGGTGGCATGTTAGTAGGTGTGGCTTACTTTATCACTCAACTTGTTTTTGTGAGTGATCTGGATATATCTGCTCCTCAGTGGCCAATTGTTGTGTTTGGTGCAATGGCTGGTTTACTGGGATCGATTATTGACTCCTATTTAGGAGCTACAATGCAATACACTGGTAAGACATTTTCTGCATATTTTTCTGATTAGCTTAAAAGCTCCCTTTTAACTTCAAAAAGGCCTGGGAAGAAGATTTTGAAAATGGGGCAAGAATGGAGGAATTACCACAGTGGTTAAAGGAAGGTAAGTGGAATGATGGAGCTCAGAAAGAAGATGGTAGTAAAGGAAATTCATCTTCATCCTTATCCTCTTCCATCTTTGTTCTTCTCCTTGCTTTTAGATTTTGGCATTTTAAAAATCTCTGAGTCCGCTGTGCTTTTTGTATCATTAAAATGGATGTAAAGTGGTATGATCGGAGAAAAAAAAATTTTTTTTCATCTGGTCTTGCTTGACTATGTCAGATCATAGCATTGCACTCTGGCTTTCTGTACTTTTTTTTTTCATGCATGCTCCACCGAATTACAGTCAAACCGAAGCATGTGTAATACTGTTTGACAATATTTTACTTTTACTTTCTATTATTCTAGGACAAATATAATAAAGTTAGGGTTGGATTGTCATGCCTTACTCACATGGGTTAATACCTTATTTTGGAAATAGTCACATTGATTTGAGTGGGATTAATCATATAGTCACTAACTACTTGTAATTAAGGGTGACAGAATTTGGCCTTGTGTATGGCACATTGGGTTTTTATTGTGACTCTTTCTAAAGGAGTTTATGTGGGAAGTAGAAAGTCTTTTTCTCTGTTCCAGGGAAACTTTGGTGTAGGTTTGGTGAGTTGTCTAGAAAATGGACACAAGGTCTGGCTTTTTATAGTAAGTTTTAAGTAAAAGTTAAGCTACCTCAGTGTGAACTTAGTGCCTCTCTAGTCACATTCAGTTACCACTGAATTCTGGTTTTGGTCTAAGTTTATTAAGTGATTGGGAGGCAGCAATGTTGCCACCTATTTGGTTTCCAAATAGCTTTTCCTAAAAATTATTTTTGGTGTGTTTTGCAGGCATCTCTTTACAATAAAACAGAAGTTCAAGATGAATATTTTTATTTTTTAACATACAGGCATTAAGAGAGCCTCAAAGCGAAATACTGGCATATATTATATTGGCCTACTCCGAGGTGTTTCTTCCTTCCCCCCTTCCCTTCCTTCTCCCCTGCCCCCACATACTTCATATGTCAGTTTTCTAGAAATGGCCATTTCTCCTGGTACACACAACAATGGAGTGGAAGGGAGAGCCCACTGGTAGCTAAAGAAAGACAATGTTAAAACACCACTAATAAAAAGGTAGAGTGGCGAGACTGGTGGAGGGAAAGCCAATACAACTAAATCAGGAGTCAGCAACCTATGGCACATAAGTGGCACATGAGCTGATTTTCAGTTGCACGTGAGGTCCGCAACGGGAGCTCAGGCCCAACCCCTCCAGAGCCTGTGCAGCTGCGAGGCTTGGAACACCAGCTCTGGCTTCCAGGAGCACAGAAGGAGGGAGGTGAAGAAAGCCCCGACTCGCATCTGTTCCAGGTGTCCCTGAGAGCCACCCCAGCTCCCCACCTGCCTGCACCAGGCAGCATAGGGAACCCCGTGAAGAGTCGTGACTGCTCCCCCTCACCCCATGGGATTAAGCCCCTGCTCCCACATGAGCACCACTGCTGCTCTGCCCACCCCAGCCCCACTGGCATGAGGGCAGAACTGGGCTGGAGGTGGGGCATGAGGTGGAGTGGAGCTGTGACTGGAGTCAAAATTGGGCCGGGCCAGGAGCAGAGCTGCATTTGGGGCTAAAGCGGAACTAGGTGGTGCTCACTCTGTTTTCCCCATGGGGCTGGCCCAGGCCCTTCTACATGTCCTCCCAAATGTTCTTCCACTGATCAAAGGGCATGTCTACACTACAAAATTAAGTCAATTTTTTTTTGAGCATCCAAATTAACAAATGCATGTCCCCACTAGGTGGCTGTGGTTAACAAAGCATAATCTTCACTGCCAGGGGTTACATGGACTCAAGAAGTGATACACTGTGCTCTGTCTCATAGTCCCAACAGCAGATTGGAATTCTGGGACCCAGTGTCCCATGGAATTAAAACATTGTTGTGGGTCATTATGGTGGGTGCATGTTGTCAGCCTCCCATGTCTGTGGCTCAGAACCAGCCTTATGCTGTGGTATGCTTTTCTAAGCTCCTTTATTTTCACACAGCATTGCTGTGTGTCTGGTGTAGCCTGTATCCACCGAACTTTGGACAATTTTGGCATTGATAATAGTATTTATATTTGCTGGTCAGAGCTCTGTCTGCACAGATTCTCCTCCTCCCTCCACCCAGCAAACAAATGAACTGTCTCCTGAACACTCCATGATGGAGGCTGTGTGACCCTGGGCATGTATACTCAGCTGTGCTAATGAACTCTCCATACTGCTCCAATGGGAAAGGAACATGCAAAAGTTTCCAGGGCTTTTCCTGCTCACCTGACTCATGATTATTAGAGTTCAATCAGCCTCTGGAAGCCAGTAACTCTAAATTACAATACACAGTGTTTTCACTGTTCTTAGTTTGAAGCATGAATATTGCCTTAGGCTTTACTCCACTTGTTCAGGTGGAGTACAAGGGTCAATTTTGAAAGACCCTCTAGGTTGGACGGGAAGGACTGGCAGTGTAGCTATACCACTGCAAATACAACCTAACACTGAATACGTTGACCTAAGCTTATAGTGTTGACTAGCCCTAAGAGGAGTAGACTTGCCATTTTGTTTATAGTGTTTATCACTGAAAAGTAATTCTTGCTTTGACAGACATTTCTTTCTAATCATTTGTCTGTTAAACAACAGCCTTCCTATCAGAACAATTTTTAGCTTGAGTTTTTTTCTACATTACCACTATCATTAACTTACTATAGAACTGCATATGTAGATTTCATACAGTAACTACTTTTTTTTTTTTTTAAAGCATCTCAATGGCAGTAATTAAAAGTATAGAATCTAGATTACTTTCTTTTAGGCGATTAGTGTTAGTTTAGAATAATAGTTTAGAATAATTACCATATCTACTCCATCATATAAGCCCATTTGTTCATAAGCCAATGCCCCAACTCCCAAATTTAAAAAAAAAATTGTAAAAATCACAATGACCCGTACATAAGCCAACTATCAGTGGTTTGCAAACTTCCAGTCCTAGCTCATCAGTGTAAGATGCTGGCACATCAGGATGTTTTGTTTACTTGGAGTATCTGCAGGCACAGAGCCTCTCAGCTCCCATTGGCTGCTATTTGCTATTCCCAGCCAATGGGAGCTGTGGGAAGCAGTGCAGGCCAAGGGATGTGCTGGCTGCTACTTCCCATCACTCCCATTGACCTGGAATGGCAAATATCAGCCACTGGGAGCTGAGGGGCTTCATGCCTGCAGACATTCCAGGTACATAAAACCTCTCAACAGGCAAGCAGTTTGCTCTGCTGAGCTGGGAACTTTGTCTGCTGACCTCCCTTCCCCCCTCTCCCCATTAAAAAATAGTAAAATGCAATGACCTTTATATAAGTTTAACCCCTGCTCTCTACTGCATTATTTTTTACCCAAAAAATTAGGTTTATTTTATCAAGTATATATGGTAGTATTGGTTTGGAATAAACACACTTGTTTAGCTCCACAGCCAAATACTAAACACTTGTAGGCAGTCATGCTCATTTGAGATCTTGGTAATGGCTTTCCTCTCAACTATGAACATTTATCTTTTGTTTACTTTCCCTAGGTTATGACAAGCGTATTGGCATGGTTGTCAACCACCAAACAAAAGACTCAAAGCACATATCTGGAAAACCTATACTGGACAACAATGCAGTGAACCTCTTTTCTTCTGTAGTCATTGCTTTATTACTTCCTGGTGTGGCATGGGGTTTCTGGCCAAGAGGGTGAAACTTCTTAAATCTTTTCATACATAGTTCAAATGCACTTAATGTGAATCAAAGGTTTCTTCTCAAAGCACCGTTTTTACCTTGCTTGAGGGAGTGAGTCCTTTGTATCCTTTGCAAAGCCAGAAGGATTCACCATCTTAACTTCCTTAGCCTGTATGTTTCATGGGCAAATACCATCTTTCTGGGTATTGAGGACCAAATGAGGCTCTGCTAATAACCTGTCAGTGCTATTCCTTAAATGGACACACATCGTCACCGGGCAACAAAGTATTTTCCCCTCTGAAGCTTCATGCTTGGACTCCAAATAATTTCCAGCCCCTCATAGAAGAAGGGGGGGGGGGAAGCGGGATGAGAAAATACAACTAGAAATCAAACCTGGATCTGCCATACAACCAACACTGTTCACTGAGCCACACACAAAATACTGTATATTTTCTGTAATGTAGATCACAGAAGTATTGATGAAATCACTGAATTCTAGTTTGGTGTATATTTCTCATTGTCTTGGACAATATTGCAGAATGAATATTCATGGAAGTCTTTAAAAAATTGTTCTTTAATGAGCATTGTTGCCTTTTCCATGCTTTTGATGATGGGTAAGAAAAAGTGACACTAACAATATCGCAGGCATATGGCTAAATTTAAAATCAAAACTAACCTTTTTTCAATAAGCAAAACAGTTTTCTGACTTTGTTTTCTGAAAGTCTTCCTTTTTATGAAATAGAAATATGCAGCTTACATAATAAGCAGCATCATAAGGTACTTATTAGATTAAATTACTGATATCTAAAAGTAAAGTAACAATTTTTTAATTCATAAATCAACTGTTTAGAAAAGATGTAGCTTGTTCTGTAACTGTGGAATTACTCTTCAATAGTCTGAGTTTAATGGTAGCACGTTCACCAACTGGAGATGGTCATGTTCCTTTTCAGTAATACTCCCTTTTTTGTTTTAGAAATTACCGTTCACTGGAGATGTTAAGGTGTTGGGGCCTTTATTGTTGATAAACTATTACAAGATTTTCACTTTTGTCAAAAAATGACAGGCTAAAATTTCAGTAAACAGTTTTAAGTTATTATATAGGATCAGATCCTGCAACTGGATTGCATGTGTGTACTCTTGTGGTCATGCAGAAATTTTCCAACTGGATCCACTTGCAGAATGTGACCCATAAAAAAAATCCATCCAGTTTGAGAGTGAATATCAGTTCCAGTGATTATCCCCAGTTTTAAGCATGGGAAACTTGGCAGAACCTAAGTATGACCACTGCACCTTAATGTTCTTGTTAAAGAGCACTGTAACATGAAAGGCGTATGTGCCCTTATTATATTTAACTGTAAATAAACCTACTTTACTTTATAATTTTGTTAGGATTTTGTGCTAGCACATTTTTTATGTTAATGCCATTAGACATTAGAGTGGGGGGACAATAATTTTTAAAAGAGGTCCACTTTCTTAAGTGGCCCCGGGCCACCCAGGAAAGGGCAGAGCCAGGGCCAGGAGCTTTCTTGTGCTCCTCCCCTTGACTGTGATTGGCCTGGAGTGGGGGAGCATGTGAGTCCCTCTCCCCATTACCTAGAGAGAATCGCCAGCTGATTTAAAACAGGTGGTGGTTCCCTCTAGGTGCTGCAATGGGAGGAGACCTTGCATGCTCCCCATGTGCCCAGCCCAGTCTGGGCCTGGGGACAGGGGAGCACGTAAAATCTCTCACTCCCTGCTCCTGCCCTGCCAAAGGCGCGTGGCAGCTAAAGAGAGCCACTGACTGTTATAAAACAGCTGGCGATTCCCTCTGTTGCAGTGCGCCCCTGGAACGTGAGCTCCCCCGTCCTCAGGTCAGTCAGGACCTGGGGTGTGGTGGAGTTTGAGGTCTCTTACCCCCTGCCTTCAAGGGCCATGTGATAGCTAGAGAGAAACACCAGCTATTTTAAAGCTGCTGGTGTTTCTTGCTAGCTGCCATGTGCCCTTGGCGGGGGGAAGAGACTTTGCATGCCCCCAGTCTCAACTGGCCCAGAGGTGGGGAAGCGACAGGGCAGCTGCAGGCCAGACCCACCAGCTGGTGGACCAGATCCGGCCCACGGGCGGCCCCTTTGCTCACCCCTTCATTAGAGGAAGGCGAAAGAGTGATAACAAAATATTTCAACAGAGTTTAGCTTTTCATTTAAATATTCGTATTGTCTAGTATATTATGTAGAATGAATCAAGAGTATCTTTTCAGGGATTAAAGAGAGTTTTAGCCAAGTTTCCATTGCCATTTATTGTGGATCCCAAAACTAAAGCACCATACAACACTAACATATATCCGTAACATTAAAAATCACTTTTGATAACAAAATATTTCAACAGAGTTTAGCTTTTCATTTAAATATTCGTATTGTCTAGTATATTATGTAGAATGAATCAAGAGTATCTTTTCAGGGATTAAAGAGAGTTTTAGCCAAGTTTCCATTGCCATTTATTGTGGATCCCAAAACTAAAGCACCATACAACACTAACATATATCCGTAACATTAAAAATCACTTTGCATAGTAGTATAAAATGCCTTAATTGCTGTTAAATTAATAAGTTTTAAACAAGCAGTTTTGCACCTAGCAAGTATAAGGGTAGGATTTTCAAAAGTGCAGGGTATTGGCATGGTTAGTAATAGCAGAGTTGTGCCAACATTGAGTTTTTAAATTTCCCACCATTAAATCTAAAAGTGTGCAAACAATGCTATTTAAAGAATGATTCTCCCCTCTTTTGTAGCATTAGCTCTATTAAAATAGCTCTGGGCAGGATACCATTACACTGGACACAATGTTATTAAATTAAACAAAACATAGTGCATGTTATTTTGACTTTTTTTTTATTTTATGCAGTAGCTATACAGAAAGGGTAGCCCTTGTGTCTGAGAAGAGGAGAAATATAAGGAAATTGTATGTGACTTAGTGCATGTAAATCACTGCATATCACTAAGAGCAGTTCTTGGGACCAGAAAGACGCTTAAGGAATGTTATCACTTGAGATCATTAGAAAATGTCTGGATATGCAAAGAGAAAATAGATTAAAGTAAAAGGGAAGGAGGCAAGATATTAATCGAAATGAACTGAGGGTACATAGATTTTTTTCCATAGTAAGCGAATTACATTACACTTTATTTTAAACATTTGAAAATTTATTTTCCCTCAATGTCAGTATGTGAATTGGTATTAGAGATTAATCTAATCTGTACATTAAAATGTGACATTAACCTGGCACTAATTTATTTGTTTCTTCCTGAAATAGCATGAAAATTCACAAATCTGATTAGATTTCCTTACACTTAAAAATCCAGCAGAAAATCAGTTGAGCCTTATGCATGTGGTTTTATTGATTGTCTATATTCAAGAAATGGCTATTTTTCACTATAAAGTAATTTTTCTTAATATATAATGCAGTTAATTTGTGTGTGTCTAGCTGAAAAAAAATTCACTTTCTAGTATCTTGATCTGAAGCATTTTTAAAGATACAGCAAATCAATCATTTATTTATAAAATACAGCTTTACAGTTGAATTAATTTACTAAGTGTCATAAATGTACATTGAATGTGCCTGATAGATCCACTATAGTAAAGTGTGCCAGCACTTCAGTGCTAAACTACAGTACATTGAGACATGTTTAGCTAAAACCACTAAATTAGAAGTCATGGGAGTCAGTCCAATTGCGTGTAAAAATGTGGCCCAGGACTTGGATTTTCAAGTTACTGCTCTAGTCTAAATAAACTAGTGAGCAGAGATGAAATAATGGGATATTTATTGGGTGATACATGGCCCTTTTTGGATCACTATTACTTCTGTCCTTTGTTTGGCCATTTTTTTCATGCAGTAAATTGATGTGACTCTACAGTTGTTATATTTATAGGCAAATTGCACACCTACATTAATTTCAAATGTGATTCCTAAGTAGCCATTATTAGCTTCAGAGTTAACAGTTGAAAATGAATGGGAGAGTTTGCACCTATTTGCTGTTCAGGAAATGACCACACTAATTCATGTTCAGATGATTGTTTTCACAACAAAGGGCAGAAACTTTTTAAAAAATGAACATTTGCATTCTGTTGAACCTGATGAACCTGGATGCCAAATTAGCACATCTAATGAACTGGTCCCCTTCCTAAATGGAAAAAGTTTTGGGACTGGATGGCTCAGGATTGGTAATAGAGATTTGTCTATACATATATGTTTATATCCAATTATCTTACAAGTTTTCATCCATACACAATGGGGCTGTTGCTTAATTGCAGCTAACTCAAATGACTGACTAAAAAAAATTAACCATTAAAATAAAAAAATCTGTTTTAATTGCACTGTTAAATAATAGAACACCAATTTAAATTTATTAAATATTTGGACGTTTTTCTACATTTTCAAATATATTTATTTCACAATACAGAATACAAGCAATTTTACGCACAAGGAACTACATTGTTAGGCTATGTCTATGCTGCCGGCTTTTGCCGGCAGAGATTATACAAATGAAGTGCTGATTAGCATTTTGTCACGCTTATTTGCATAATCTATTTGAGCCATTTTTGCACAAAAAATTCCTTGCGCAAAAACAGCACGAATAGATTATACAAATGCATGACAAAATACTAATCAATGCTTCATTTGCATACTCTGCTGGCAAAACCTCTCTGCTCAAGACTGTGAAACTAATATACCGTACTTCAGTGAATATAACCCGCAGGTTATGCAAAGTTTTACATACCCCCTCTTTCTTCTCCCTCCCCCCCCTCCCCCCCAGGTTTTGGGGTTTTTTTTTTTTGTTGTTGTGTTTTTTTTTTTACTGAAAGGAAGACAAGACTGACTCTTACTTGAGAAAAGCAGCATATTTTAATTTAATATTAGAGGCAGTTTCTTAAAATTCATTAAAATTCATTAGTTTACTGTACAACTAGTAAAAGAATAAAAACAATTTTAAAAAAAGCCTTCTTCGCATTCTCATTCATGGGGTTTTTTTTTTTTGTTGTTGTGTTTTTTTTTTTACTGAAAGGAAGACAAGACTGACTCTTACTTGAGAAAAGCAGCATATTTTAATTTAATATTAGAGGCAGTTTCTTAAAATTCATTAAAATTCATTAGTTTACTGTACAACTAGTAAAAGAATAAAAACAATTTTAAAAAAAGCCTTCTTCGCATTCTCATTCACTCTGATCTCTAGAATCAGCGCCAGCAGCATTCTCCTCGGCGTCTGAGTTCTCAAAACAATCAAAACTCTCATCATAGTCACTGTCTTTAAAAACATCCATACAATCCATAGCCCAAGGCTAGGTCGGCTTCGGTGACAGTTGAGGTCTGTGGTGCAGAATCAGAGTAGCTGTCATACTTGGAATCAGAGCTTGAGGAGTCAGTGTCGGGAAGAATTTCACTCTTTTCCTCAGGTGTAATTTTTCAAGCTCTGTTTCTTCCTTATTCCACTCCTGAACAGACTTTTCGTTCAGAGTATTTTCACCGAGGTTCTGTTTCCATTGTCCTTTGCAAATGCTACTACATACAATTTAAAATCGGCTTGTACTTAGACATGTTTAAAAGGTTTAAAAAGTTTAAAGTTAAAACCACTGAAGGAATAAATGAATGGAAAAGTGGTGTGGTTCAAAGGGGTTAGATACCAGTGATAAGGGTTGTAGCCTACTTAGTGCTTGGCGTTATCAGCTGTGGCTCATTAACACTTGATTACAGGTGCTTTGCATTAACATTACCCATGGTTCATCTCCCGCGGGCTATACACGTGTGCAGGGTAGACAAGATTTTTTTTACTCAATCAGGGAAAACCACAGGTTATACACAGGTGCAGGTAATACTTGTGTGCAGGTTATTTACGGTAATGCATGGCAGTATTTAGACCCCAGGCTAAGCGATACTGCATTTTGATGACCACATTTTAATCAAAATTTAATCCAAGCTCAAGACAATTGCTCCAACACTGTTACATAACTGTCTTCAAACAAAAAAATGCAAAACTTTAGCACCTACAAGTCTATTCAGTCCTAATTCTTGTTAAGAGGAACAAGTTTGTTGACGTTTACAGGACATAATGCTGCCCTCTTATTTATGTCACCAGAAAGTGAGAACAAGTGTGTTCGCATGGCACTTTTGGAGTAGTGATGTAAGTTTAACCGGTTAGTACAGGGTCAGACAGACTGGAGTAGCCCACGGGCGGGGGCTGCTCTAGTCCAGCTGCTTCTGATCCCGTGCAAGCTGGGACCCAATAACCCTTCAAGGCTGAAGCCTCCCTCTGACCATGCCAGGCCACAGCTGGTAAGTGATGCTTACTGGGTAACTGGCTACCTATTCACATCCCTGTTTTGGAGATGGCATTCATATGCCTCTTCGTGCTTCAGTCACCATTCCAGAAAACTTACTTCTATGCTGATATTGTTTGTCAAAAAAAGTGTTAATTTAATTTGACTGGACTTTGTGGAGAATTATGTCTCCTTTGTTATACCTATATTTTGCCATATATTTTATGTTTTAGCAGTCTCGGATAATGACTCAGCACGCATTCGTTTTAAGAACTTTTTCACTGTAGATCTGCAAAGAAAGTATCACTAAAGTGCTCTTCCCAGGGTTTAAGAATGTGAAGTGTGCAGCATGCTTTCAGAAGTCTTTAAAGAGCAACACTTTGATGTGGAAACTACAGAACTAGAATAACCAAAAAAGAAAATCAACCTTCTGCTGGTGCTATCTGACTCAGATGATGAAAATGAGCATGTGTCGGTTTGCACTGCTTTGGAGTAGGGCCGTAAAAATCCCATTTAATTCGTTAACGTTTATACATATTCTTTAACCAGTTGACTGATTAACACAGTGAAGAGCAGGGCCCTCCCTGCTTGCTCCCAATGCCGAGTCAAAAGAAAGGCTGAAGTAGCTGAAGGCAAGAGACACTAATGGGATTTTTAATAAAGCTTTCACTGGTTGCCTGTGCTATGAGAAACTGGTCTGTGTTTCTGCAGCATAACAAGTGTCCTTGACCCCATGTATACTATGAAGTCTGATAGATTTTTTCTAAGCAGCCAAAACTGATATTATGCATCACATTTAGAGCATACACAAGAACATCAGACAGCTAGGCAGCCTGAAATTGCTATGGA